TATGTTTATGTAACAATTTTATTATATTTAATTCTTATATATTCTACACCTGTTAAACTTGTATAGTATTATAAAAGTAACTCGTGTTGAATGAAGTATTCATAAAACAGTAGAAAACTTGATAATAGATTCAAAGAAACACATTCATTTATTCCTTTATCATTGATCTGTCAACTCCAGGCATTTTTGCAAGAACAAAAATAGAGGAGATAGTGTTCCGGAAAAAACATTTACTAATAGATTGATGAATGTGGATGCGAAAAAGGTACTAATGACAGAGAATTAGATCATGTGGTGTTCCGTGGTCTGTCTATCCGAATGGGATCTGTCGATCCAAGAACGAGTTTGACTGCATTATTGGTCGTTACATTATATACGTTACTTGAATATTTATTGTGATCCACAAATAGTTGTTCCTGGTTTGCTCATAAATACACCCGACACAGTACATATCCTGGTACGAAACTTTTTTCTTACAAAATAAAAAAGTCTTACCAAAATCTGGCATATTATCATCATCACTGCTGCTGCTCTCGATCTGTCGGAATGCGAGCGGTCTGTCTCCGAGCGGGCCGCAGTGGAAGAGTGTCTCGCCGGGCGCGTGCCACGTGTCGTTCGGCAGCGGGACGGCGCGCCTCGCCGCCGGTATCCGCTGCAACGCCTCGTGCACCGCCGGCCCTCGACCGCGCCGCGGCTTCGCTTGAGAACCCTTACCTATTTACAGTTACCATCTCATTTACGATCGTGACAGTTTATATTATATTCTATCACTTTCTGTATATAATTTATTACAATTATTAAACATTAAATGAAATAAAATTTGCTACCCTATAAAATCGTTGAAACAATAAAAAACTGCAATAAGCATTTAAGGCTAAACAATCATAATAATGTTCGTTCAATAAACTATATTTTCTGATGTCACTAGAGGAAGGAAGAATAACTAGGTATAATTTACGAAATTAATTGTACAATAACAAGGACTTTAATAATAATTAAAAACACCTTACCAGATGAAGATTTCTTCGGAGGAGACATTGGAACCTTAGCTGGTGGCTGTGCTGATGGCTCAGTTTTTATAAAAGCAGATGCATTCTCCACTAAACCTTGTTCTCTTTTAAATACATCTAAGAATGTCTCCATCCCACAAGTCAGCTTTGAAGAAGTCTTTGCATTATTTGTAGTACTAGCACTATTAATACTGGTTTTCGCACATAAGGAGGGGGCTGTGGCAGTGCTTTGCGCCTTAGGACTATGAACACTTAGTCTTCGAGGTTCACTAAACGATTCCAACCTAGGAGGCTCCTTCATCTGAGTCTGATTTTTAACTTTCAAAACTTTGGTATGAGTAGTCTTACTGTCTTTATAGTTTGCAATCGGCTTGGCCACTGGTGGATAGTGCCCATTAGATACCACCTCTTTCTTGATATCCTCCTTAATATCGCCATTTGTGAATGCACCTATGAGATCGAGCTCTTTACTTGGACTGTCTGCTAACAGTTTACTCTTAATATCAACACTATCGGAGAACATAAAATTATCTTCTGTGTGGCTGACAGTAATTTCTCCAGCTATTACATCAGAATCATGGAAGGTGTATAACTCGTTGGGATCAATTTTAAACTTGGGGTAGAAATTGTCATTGAGATGAATGTATGGTTGTTCATCACCAGAGTTGTCATGTAGGAACATATTCACTTCACCACAGCTCCCCGAGGAGGCACCCTCAACTGCCATCTTATACTGAGAAGCACAACTTGCCTCTGATATATTTTGTGGAATACCACTGAAGCTGGAAAGCACAAAACAACAACATTTATACCTCATTCAAACTGGTTTTAGCCATTAATAAACAACAAAGAATTTACAGTTAGTTTTGACCAAAGACCTTTAGATTACCTAATCACCATTATATAGACTTTTCCATTGTCATTTGTTAGCAAATAGTTAAGATATATTCTTGGTATTAAATATTAAATGTAGCAGATAGAAAATTTAGCTTTATAAACATAGTAATTATCTTCATTATAAACAATTATGGATTGATAAAAAACAATGCATTCATCTAGCTACAATTATAAACAAACTAGGATTAACTCCAGTTATATCAATGTTTTCTCCCTTTCATCATTAGCCAATGTCACCAGTGAACATTATTCCTAACTGTCATTCTGGGTTTCCTATAATTTCTATGCTCGGCAGACTATTGCGGCCCATTTTCAGAACTAAATGACATTTAGACTAGCAAGCAGCAAAATAAAAACAAAGTAGAACAACTATGAAGTCTAAGTAGCGCATAAACATAAACAGCTACATCAAATGTCATACAATTTACCGATTTAGTATGCACAAAGAATAAACTACAGACAACAACAAACATATTGTATATGCAACGATAATATAGAATTTCTGTTTCACTTATGTAATGAGAAAAGTATGAAGTTTGAATGCTACATTACTCAATACATTCAAGATATCTGACACTGCAAATGCTACACAGAGGTGTAATAGTAGCGGCATAAGCTCATAGCAACATTGTCACAGAGTCTAACAAAACGGACATACTTTAGGGAATATACTGAATACACAGCAAACATAAAAACTGTATAATACTCACCCCACATTTTCTGACGCACTCAAATAAGACATACTGTGTTCATTTTACAACTTAATGATATCAACAACTTTATTGCTATTATACGTGCAAAAGTAAGTTTGGTCCCTTTGCTTCATACTGAAATGTAAGAAAAGGTCGTATTACACATTACACATCCACATACGCAGTAAATTCAATGTTATTCATATCAAAAACACAAATAGTTACTATCTTTATTATTGTAAAGATTCTTTGAATTGACATCAGTATGACATATGTCATGAACATAATTAACCAATTTTTTATGTATTTTCCTTGTTTCTAGTCACTAATTGCTGTATAATTAATGATGTGAAAGTATTTTATTATTTTCAACCAAAACGAATAAGTAATTATTGTTGTTTTACGAAGATTATCAAAAACAAATCTCACACTATATCTTGCTAAATAACCGGCTCATCATTTTCTTCAAATTATAACAAACAGAATCAATGCAAAATCATTCACTTCTATAACTTATTTGTTGGCAAAATAATTATTGTGGCTTTTAAAATAAATAAAACTGAAATCTTTATTCAATAACATCAAGAATGACTGACAGAACACAGCAAATGGCAGCCAAAATCCACAGATGTAATAAAAATTAGAGGTGCGTTTGGTATTTAGTCGATTAGTAAAACTAAACATGCAAAATTTAAATAAAATAAAATATTTGACGTTCTTATCCTGTGCTATCTATAAATACATGGTTAGTCTTGTTTTACCTAATTTGAATGCATTCTTTCAATGTCCTTGATTCTAAACTATAAAATAGTAAAAAAGTACGTGTTTAAAGAAAGTGTAATAAGAATAGTTGGAAAAAAAAATTTGCATGAGGTATACAATTAGCCAAATTTTCGGATAAATGTTGAGTATGAACTCGGCATTTATCCATTTTGAATATCTCCATACACGTTAGATATCATATGACTGTATTTGCATCTTTGCATGCATAATCTTACACTCACATGACAGCATATTAACCAAATTGCATTCGTAGCTTTATAGTTTCCTAAATACAGACTTTTATGGGTTTATAAACATACAAGTTAAAAACCGTCATACAATATCTAACATGCATGGCTATGAATGCACAGCTTAACATTTATGCATATTCCACTTCCTATCAATGTTTTGAAGAGTTTTTCAGAAGAAGTCATATTTTTATGCATGTATGTACAGAAAATATTGGTTTCAAAAAATTTTTTTTTAAAGTTCTGAAAACCTAACGTATGGTTTATATAACATAGAAAAATATTTTATTATATAAGCGTAATACGTTTTTCAGAAGAATTTTCATGAAATAGTCGAAAAGCTTAAAATGACCTAAACTTTTACAGTGATTTACTGCATTGGCTACCCTGTTTCAATATTGCTAAAATTACCTATACAAAGTTTTAATGTTTTCATTTACATGTTTCTAACAAAATAAAGTTCATAAACAAGAAAAAGGTGAAAGTATTGTAAGAACAATTCACATATAAGAAATACTAATTCATACAAAATAATCGATAACATTTCCTTCTAGAAAATCTAAAATAATGTAAATTTTTAACTATTTGAATGACGCGCCTTTTGTATTTCGATTTGAGAACCCCGTTTTTGAAGCGTTGTTGTGAATCCAATATGGCGATATTTGATGTTGTACTATTTTGAAGGTACGTCAAATTGACGATTCTATAATGATAATTCCGGTAAATATATTATTGTTAAACAGTTTTCGATACGTAATGAAAATTTTTAGTAGTCAATGATTAAATAATTGTGTTTTAACAGTGTAAGAGAAAGCTTACAGTTTGTATTGTTTTGTTTGTGATTTCCGATATTTTAATGATTATTCCATTGTTTTACAAAAAAATTAAAAGCGTTTTCATGTGGATGCCGTAACTATGTATCGAATCAGTTCATAAATACACTGTTTAAGTGTATGCTCAACGTAGTTAGGTGTGTTTCACATAAATTGGAGAACAAGATGGAATGTAATTACGGTAATTACAATCGCGAACAGTACGTACTGATTTCTTTACGAATTTTGTTATTTTTGTTACAGAAGTGCACATGTTTTTATACAAATGGGAGTTAAGTAACTTAATGTTGAGGTGCATTAGATTAGCGCCATAATAATTGATTCATTACTTGAGTACATAGTGTTTAGAGCGCTGACTATCATGACAGACACGAGACGAAGAGTTAAGCTTTATGCTCTGAACGCAGACCGACAGTGGGATGACAGAGGTACAGGGCATGTGTCGTCATGTTACGTGGAGAGGTTGAAAGGCACCTCGTTACTCGTGCGTGCAGAGTCAGATGGTTCCCTTCTTCTAGAGAGTAAGATACAACCCGACACAGCCTATCAGAAGCAACAGGACACGTTGATAGTCTGGTCGGAAGGTGACAACTTTGACTTAGCGTTAAGTTTCCAAGAAAAAGCCGGTTGCGACGAAATATGGGAGAAGATTTGTCAGGTAAATATAAATATGCAATGTTTATTATTAGTTTCACTTCATACCAATAAAGATACCTGAATAATCAAATTCAACTTTAAATTCTTATTGGAATCTTCACCTAAAGTTTATAGTTTTAACTTTGAATCATATTGTAAATAAAATAGTAAAGATTGATCTTGTGACAATGTAACAGTAACTGAATAGAATTATCTTATATCTGTATGTTGACATTGATGTGTGGCTGATTGTGTTGTGTGATATAAGTGCATGTGTGACACGTATAACTTACTTTCAGGTACAAGGAAAAGATCCTTCAGTTGAAATAACACAAGATATAGTGGAAGAATCAGAAGATGAGCGATTTGATGAGATGTCAGACAGTGTACAGCCAGTGGAGCTGCCTGCATGTGAGATGGGTCGCCTGGAGGACATCAGTGAACTTGTCAACAGTTGTCTGGTGTCACCAGCTCGCAAGGACAAGCTGGCAGCTGCACTAGAGACACAGCATTACATAAAGAAACTACTTAACCTGTTTCACATGTGTGAAGACATTGAAAACATAGAAGGGTTGCATCATCTTTACGAAATATTTAAAAGTATATTTCTTTTAAACAAAAACACACTCTTTGATACCATGTTTGCTGATGATACTATATTTGATGTTGTGGGCTGCCTAGAGTATGATCCAAGTCTGCCTCAACCTAAAAAACATAGAGAATATTTACGGGAGCTAGCAAAGTTCCGGGAAGCTATTCCTATAAAGAACAAAGATTTGCTAGCGAAAATACATCAAACATATAGAGTACAGTACATTCAAGATATTGTTTTACCTACTCCAACAGTTTTTGAGGACAATCTGCTAAGCACATTGTCCAGTTTTATATTTTTCAACAAAGTAGAAATAGTGAAACTTATAGAGGAAGATGAGAAGTTTTTGACAGATTTGTTTAAACTACTTATGGATGATAAGACACCGGATCCTAAGAGACGGGACTTAGTTCTGTTTTTAAAGGAATTTTGTAATTTTTCACAAAACTTGCAACCTCAAGATAAGGATGCGTTTTATAAAACTTTAGTATCTCTAGGGATCCTGCCAGCATTAGAAATCACTCTAAGTATAGATGATCAGAAGACTAAGACTGCATCTATAGACATTTTAACTTACATTGTAGAGTTTTCACCTTCTGTAGTGAGGGACCACACACTACAGCAGGCCAACAATACTGAAGAGGTATGTATATCCATATAGTTTTACTGTTTATTGCCTGTGCTGTGTCTATAATATTATTTGACTTTATTTTTTGTTTTAGGAACAAATGTTACTAAATATAGTGATAGAGCAGATGTTAAGGGACAGAGACCCTGAGCTGGGTGGCGCAGTGCAGCTTATGGGTGTCCTTCGCATACTCTTGGACCCTGAGAGTATGCTAGCATCAGTGAACAAGAGTGAAAAGGCAGATTTCTTAAATTTCTTCTACAAACACAGTATACAAACATTAATAGGTAAAGTACCATTTCTATGACTCATTTTTGTACAAATTGTAACTTGAACAGCTTCCGAGAATAGTGTACAATGTACACCTATAATTGTGCTAAATTGTTGCTTAGAAAATGAATTTATAATACTAGAACAAGGAGCACTATTAACAATTCTAATAATGATTATAGAGAAAAATATGAACTAGTTTTATAAAATACACTTTGAAAACATGTCAATGGGAACAAGTTGTGAATGTAAGTAGGTTTGTTAATTTGTTGTTATAAGATTCAAAGTAATCTCCATATTCACCATGCTAATAGACTAATGTCAACAAGTTGCTTGGCGGCCTACTGATTATTGATAATGTATTTTATTTAAATTGCATTAAATATTTATATTATAATATAACAACAAAAAGGTTACATAATTTAGCCTAAATTACAAATTGTACACAGTTTACGAATCTCTAATTGGGATGATGACAGGGTATAAAAATTAAAAATCTAATTAGTCCGTCAGTTAGGTAATGAAAAAATATTAGACACATTTTTTTATTTTGTTGTATAATAAAACAATACTTAAATAAAACGAATCAAAATTTAAGAGTGGGGTCTAAAACGTAATTTCTACGTATAAAATGTACATAGAAGTGACGTCACGCGACATTTCAAATCAATATATCGTCGAAAGTATCCGTTTCTATAAGAAAATAAAAATACGTGTGTAATGACTTAAAATAATCTACCAGACGGACATTCAAATAAAAATTAGGCATCTACCCTATTAATACAGTTTAGCTTTTACAATTCAAATATTGTCAATAGAATATAATTTTCTAGTAATTGGAAAGTTGTTATTACTTCGCAAATATAAATTTTTTTAAAACAATATTATCTGAAAGTGATAGTGACTCAGCAATGTTAGAAGTTGCAAGTTTTTATTTATTTATAATGTGTATAACGATTTCAGCTCCTCTCCTAGAGAACACGACAGGAGAGAAACCTCTAAAGGAAGACTATCACACTGTGCAGCTACTAGGCCTTGTACTTGAACTACTGGCCTTCTGTGTTGAGCATCACACTTACCATATAAAGACCTGTATATTGAATAAGGTAAGAACTTTCAATTACTCTCTCATCATCAGCCGTTTTCTATGTACTGCTTGTCAAAAGCCTCTTTTAGTCAGGGCGGAGCTTGATCTTCAGCTCAGCCAGTGTTTTTCACAATGCTAAATACTTAGTACAAATAGATATATTACCATGACTTGACTTCAGGGTACTTTTTTAGCAAAATTTTAAGTTTAAAACCCTTGTAGAATTTGCTGTGGTCTAATCAATCTGCCTGTCTTTTACTTGTCTTATATTATTCTAGACAATAAAAATAAAGAATATGTATTAAAGTTGTGTCTCACTTATATCTACTTTCCATTCAGCCAGAGGTCACAACCGAAGTATCTAATTCACTAAAATTCCTACATAATGTGCAAATTTTCCTTAGTTTTCACATTTTAATCAGTAACGTAATGACTGAGTTTCCATTTCACTATCACAAACATTTATTAATCATTGAATTATCTAAGTTAATGTAAACAAAAAGTGTCTTACAGCATTCTAATAATGATAATATGGTACACTAG